GTGTCTTTGAGAACGACGATGCGAGCAAAATTTTTGCTTAGTTCTCTGATGAAAGAGTTTGCAGGTGAGGTGAGTCTGGTGTGGATGAATGGCAATTTTAGTGGAACCACTGGCACAGATGGGAGAACTGTGTCAGAGCATTTGGAACTTTCAATTGTGTTACATTTTAATCCAGACTGCTCGGGTGGCCTGTAAGTACGACAACCGGAAACTTGTTTCCGTTTTCAGACTCCATCTCGGATCGACCCGAGTTCCCTTCCAAGCCCGGTCTCGGAGCATCGCGCAGCAAAGCAATGACGCACGTTTGTGTCTTCAATGTCCCTTGTATGTCTAGTCTTGTGAAAAATATCATTGGAGGTTGTGCTATCAAACTCACGAACGCCGAGGTTTTGACGACGATACGTACTGGGCAGTCGGTTCGAAGGTACTGGGTGCATGGATTGTATCACAGGATAAATATATGGGGGTGGGCCAGGAAGGAGGACGGCCTGACCAGAATGGACAGAATTATTCGACATGTTGGTCAAGTGCCCGATTTTCTTTGAACGACACGTTTGATGCGCGGTCTGCACGATCACGTGGCTCGATGGGGCAGTACAAGTTCGTGTAGTTTGTTTGTAGTTTCATCGGAGGATACTTCTTGCAATTTTAGGAGCTACCTACACATCAAAACGACTATTTGATGTACTCACAATTGCACAGTCGACGAATCCCTTCAAACGGTGAATTCTTTTCCCCAAATGTGTGCATGGTACCATAGCGGCTCTCTATGCAAAAATACTAGCCAGCCACGGGAACTCTAGCAAAATATGACAGGTATTAGAGAAACCTATTCAAATTTGAGGATGTAGACGGAAAGCCCTGATGTTTACCCGACCTTACATTCTTTATTATTCAGAAAGACATCGCGTACATCCCCAATTACAGCCCCCCTTCAGTATTTACATTTTGTTGGGAATCTTGCGTGGTGACTCCTGGGATGCACGTATACGACTTAAAGTTAATAATATAAAACATCGAGAAGTGACTGTCCGCGTCCGCGGACAGCCATCGGGAAGGCGCCTCGGACAACGGAAGAGGCAGCGTCCACTGATCGCGGTCTTTGGGGTCTTGTAACTCAAAAGGGAAGGTAACATCACCTCCCATCACGCGGCATCAATGCCGGAGCTCGCTTAAAAGCGTGATGCTCCTGGTTTCCATACACTGCGGTAACCGGGTAAGTAAGCGGGTGGCAGTGCACATGACGATCACGTGGATATGTAATCTCGTCACGCTGCGTCGCGTCTCGCTTAAAGTTAGGGCGATCCGCCTTTCCGAGCTGACGGCAAGTGGGCCAAGAGGCCGATCATAACGATCCCGCCGGGAAGAGAATTTAGAGAAAGCCTTGGCCTGCCTTGGCTTGCCTTGGCCATCTTTGTGGCGAAAAGAAGCCACGGCGGTCCCGCTGAGGAACGCTTGGCAGCCTGCCCGGAATTATCTGAGTCTCGTAATGACCTACTCTCCCCAATCCTCGCTAACGACGCTTATGGCAAAAAATCCACAACATTATATAAGCCGCCGCTTTCTTAAATGTTCAGTTGATTTTCACTGAACATGCGCCAAGTGGCGCCACAATTAGTGCTCAGGACTGAAATAAATTTCCAATGTCCGCAAAACACTGCAGGAGGATTTCCACCGCGATTTCTATCTTGGTCTCAGCCATGAACCGTGAGAGAACCGTCAAAAATAACTTCTCGCGGTATACATAGCCAGCCAATCATGGAACGCCTGTTACAGAATTACTTGATTTGTTCCTCCTTCCAGACCGACATGTCCGGCTTTCATCCCTACGGCGACGAGCGTCAAACGCGGGGAGCTTCTCGGTGGATGAAGTATCCGTCGTGGCCTACCCCCACGTTCTTTTCCGGTTGAACGAACGATGTTTGCAGCATAAATTCGTTACAGGGGTTTCAAGCACGCGACAACATGCGGGACAGGTATCGCCTCCTACCAGACGACATGTGTGAATATCCCGGTCTCGGGAGTGTCACTTATAGTGGAGCCGGGGTTCGGGTAGGCAAGTCGTTTCCAACCCGTCTAATTTATAGATTTCTTTGCGTCCCACCCGGAACTGGTGGGACTTCAGAGATGTCTCTTGCTTTGGGGGTACTGACTTTTGCACCACTGTGCCCTCATTGTAAAATCATTCCGGCGTCAAAGCCGAGTGAATGGGAGCAAGCGACTGGCTCATTGCGCCCATTGACGAAAACCATGAATCTGTGCCAATCATTATTATACAGTTGGTTGGTTTGATTAAGAAAACGTCTTGGCGCGGGTACTTCTTGGCATCATTGGGAGTCATCCAGTAGACCCGCTTAGGTCCATGCAACCAGGACCTTCTCTGCTACTGGCGAACATCTGGCCGCTTCGTCGGTCCCGCTCCCACCCACCACTTTTTTCACTTTTTCTCACTGTCCGGACAGACACGGTCGCGTTGAACCGACGCGAAAATTCCAGAATTAAACCCGCTTTTCACCCCCACCCGCCGGAATGCTTATCGAGTACGTTAGCCGGAAGGCCGACGAGCAGTATAAAAGAGGTTTGCCAAAGTCCAGAGAGCAGTCAGGCTCTACCTGGTCATTTGCATCTACCTACCGTCCTTCGGAATCCTCAGCACCAGTCAAAATGTTGTCCACGACATTTGTTCTGCTCGCGGCTCTCGCTGCTGTTTCCAACGGTGCTGACTTTCCTTCAACCAAGTCTATGTCGAGCTGACGGCGAGCATTTGTTTGTAGCGGCGCTCACCCGTCGTGTGGTCTGCCCCGACGGAAACACGGTGACTAACGCGGCCTGCTGCGCTCTGTTCCCCGTGCTCGAGGACATCCAGACGAACATGCTCGACTTCGGCGAGTGCGGCGACGCTGCTCATACCGCACTGCGCATCTCGTTCCATGATGCCATCGGCTTCTCGAACAGCGACCCGAGCTTCGGGTATGCAATTTATTCTCCTCTCCCCTGCTGATACCGCAGCTGACGAATGCGACAGTACTGGGGCCGACGGCTCGATCCTCCTCTTCGGGGAGACTGAGCTCGCCTTTGGTGCCAATCTCGGTATCGCCGACGCCTTCAACCTCGAGGTGCCTTTCATTCAAAAGCACAACATCTCGGCTGCCGATTTGTACGGCCTCCTGTCATAACCTCAATGTCTTTGAATCGTACTTACATCTATCTATTTCTAGCATCCAGTTCGCCGGCGCCGTCAGCTTGACCCAATGCCCCGGCATCGCTCGCCCGACGTTCATGTTCGGTCGTGTCGACGCGACAACCCCCGCTCCGGATGGCACCGTCCCAGAGCCTTTCGGTACGTACTGGCGCCAGTAGAGACGTTGACTTTCTGAAATCTTCCCAAGACGGCGTCACGAAGATTCTCGCCCGCATGGCCGACGCTGGCTTCACCCCTGCAGAGGTTGTCGCGCTCCTGGCATCGTAAACAATTTCTACTTGTCATTTTACTCATAGCTCACTGTCATGTTAGCCACTCCATCGCCGGAGCCGACGATGTTGACCCAACGCTCCAGGGTCTGCCTTTTGACTCGACTCCCTCGGTGTTCGACACCCAGTTCTTCGTCGAGACTCAGCTCAGAGGCACCCTCTTCCCCGGGACGGGCGGTAACCAGGGCGAGGTCGAGTCTCCGCTCGCCGGCGAGCTGCGCCTTCAATCGGACTCTGATTTTGCCCGCGACTCTCGCACCGCCTGCCTCTGGCAAGCGAACGTCAACCAGCAGGCGTTCATGGCGACCCAATTCCAGCAGGCGTTCGCGAAGATGCAGGTCCTCGGCCAGGACGTCTCGAAGATGGTGGACTGCTCCGATGTCATCCCCATTCCCCCGCCCATTTCTGCCGCGGCAGCCCAGGCGTTCTTCCCCGCAGGCCTCTCCAACGCCGATGTCGAGCAGGCGTGCGCCACCACGGCGTTCCCCAAGCTCCCGACTGCTTCTGGTCCCGCCCCCGCCGCCGTCCCTTCGATGTACGTTGTTCCCCTTGCATACGCAGTTCCCAAAGCTAATGGATCATCGCACTACAGCGTTCAGGACCCTGCGACCGACGGCAACTGCCAAGACGACGGCTCGGGCTGTGTTTTCTAAACTCGACGTATTTTCATAAATGGCCCCCGCCCTTCATTGTCAGGTCTGCCCTCTATGATCGTGTATTTTGGTCGGAAATGGGATATGTTTCAATCTGCTAATCCTTCTCGTGAGATGTGACAAATTCAATATCTCAAATGAAATGTGAATGTGAAGGCGTGCAACAATGAGTTGCTGTCAACATTTACTGTAAAGTCGAATCCTTGCTTACCAACTTCACTGGAGAAAATATATCGGCTCGATCCTCCCTCGCTATATCCTTTCGCATGGCGTCGCCCTCGCATTCTCCTTGTGCTCTTCCTCACCTGCAAAGACCAGTTCGGAGACAGCGATATTGCTCCGTCACTAATAAACGTACGGATGACGCGTTGCAGCAGTACGATCCTCTGTCATTATTCAACTCCTTCGACATATTGACTCCTGTTCAGGACGTACATATATCCTATCTCACTGAGCGTCAAGACGCCCAATTAGAAGGCTCAGTGGTGCCCGCCGCGCATCTCCATCGCTTTAGACTGGTTCCATGGATAGATCAGATAGATCAAGCAGAGTTCCGGTTCAACCCCGGGCTGGGCCATACAGGTGGATGATTCTTTTTTTGACTCTCTTCTACGTAGTGGCGATGAATTTTGTTCGCATATAGACCTGGAACGGCAACTCATGATCTCTCATCCTTTCCTTCTGCAATGTAATTTGCGCATGAACACCGGCTGGGTTTCAGAACACCGCGGGTGTGTGTGTAAGTAAGCCTCGGCACACAACTCGTAGGTGCATTTTTCAACATCCGTATCGGCTTAGTAGGGTGCAGCGCCCATCTAAAAAATCCTCCAGTATGGCCATACATCCCTTGTTACAAGAACTTACTCATGATTCTAATTGGGTGTAGTGTATGGTACACCCTCCTTCATCCTGCTGCGGTCGAAGTGATGTATCCAGGAGAAACCCAGGTTCGATTCCTGGCACCCGAATAATCTGCTTTTAGTTTGATCTTTTCCTCTTTCACATTTCGGATACGTTTGATATGCTCCGTTTTTCCAGAAGGCACGCAGTCGGGTGTCGTGTATGGAACACACTTCTTCACTCTTCATTGGGAAGATTGGAATTGAGGAGAACCAGGTTCGATTCCTGGGGCCGAACTGGTTTGAAGAAGGAGCGTTATTTTGCCGGTAATCTCTTTTTTTACTTGCACCCCGCATCCAAGTTGTGGTATTAATTATTCAGGCTCGTACCCAGGTCTCCATCGGGCATGGTGTATGGAACACACCTTCCCTCTTCATTGGGAAGAAAATATTGAATCGAGGAAAACCCGGTTCGATTCATGGCGCCCGGATAATAGGTTCGGTCTAATGTTTTGCCGGTACCGTACTTTGTTGTGTGACCTCACATCCAGGGTGTATGTTTATCCAGGCGCACGCGTGCTACATATTTCATCGGGCATGGTGTATGGAACACTCCTAGTAATTTCAGAGTTTGGGGTGTAATTCATCAAGGAGAGATCCAGGTTCGGTTCCTGGCACCCTGGTTGCAACTTGTGCATTCAACTTATTTTTTTCTTACATACTACTAGTGCGAGCGAGATAATGTACGCCCCAAAATATCACGATTTTGATTTATGTCTCGGCTTCCTTCTCGTGCATATGATTCCAGGTATGCATGCTAAAGGCCGAAAATCAGCGCTCCTCATCGTTTCACCCGGACTGAAGTACTGATAAGTATCACCATCCCGTACTTATTGAAGGAGCTAACGGGACATTTGATCAGGTGTAGTGTATAGAACACACTCCTTCATCGTGGACTGGGTCCTCGTTTGATACCATGCATTCAATGTACTGTGATTCGGCGTTCTTCCGCAGGGTCACATCCAAATTCGCGTGTTCAAGTTTCGAAAATCATATAGTATATTGCGAGTGGTAGACACGGAATACGCGTGCGTACGAACTGGGATGCTGGTGATGGTAATCCGCAGCTGGTCCTAGATCCGGAGGTATCTTAGCTCACAGTCGCTCACTTGGTGGAGGGCAGACAGATTTATGGGGTCCTGCAGCGACGCCAAGATCTAGATAAGATAAGACAAGACGAAACCAGTGGGATTTGCGACGGATAGGAGTATGAAAGGAATTTGGGGAAGGAAATTGAGGAAGGGAAGGAAGACGGAGAATGAAGATACGGATGACGGTTTTATCGTGGTACACACATACGTACATATGGAAACGCGAGATGAGAACGCCGGGGCTGCGTGCAGGCATATTAATAAAGTTTTAATCAATAATTGAAGCGTGCTCACGGGGGGGATCGGAGGTCCGCTGGTTGGATAGAACGAGCGCGATCGTGGTATGAAGGTCGTGATGGACGAGCGCGAACGCGAGTGAGAGCAGACTCGGGATTGTGAGAGGCGGGAGCGTATATGTACGGTGGCGGCAGAGGTAGAGCGGCACGAGAAGAAGTGGGTGGGCTGAGAGACGCGCGGCGTGTATGCATATATATGGTACGATCCGAAGATACGATGTACATGCCGCTCGATGCTCGATGCTCGAAGCCCAGGAAAGGATGACGTAGTCCTCGTTCGCACTTTGCCGGAGAGTGCCGCAGAACGCGAGCCGGGCTACGCGCATCCGACGTTTGAAGATTGAAGCCCAGTGAAAAGTCCTTATGCTGGGCTCTGCCCGGATCTGCGCAAATCTGCCCGATTCGGCAAACATCTGCTTAAATCTGCCGGGATCTGTCGACACCAGACATTCTCAAAGTCCTGACTCATGTGCATGAGTGCATGAGTGCTTTTGAGTCGCCATAATGGCGCGCAACTGACTTGGAGAATTTTCGCGGTTGGACAATTTGCGAAGGCCGCGTCATCGTCGCTGCGCGCACGGACCAGCTCAAACGGGGGATCAGTCGGAGTTTGAAATTCTCCTTGCTTCCTGCCACCACCATCCCCCGTCTCTCCCTGCCCGCCCGCGCTCTTCGCCCTTCCTCCGCCCGTATCCTGCCATCTCCGCTGACCATTCTCTCTCGTTGCATCCCCACTGGCTCTCTACTACCTCAACATTCGTTTTTACCGAGCGACGCGACGATATCCAAGGAACGATGTAATTACTCGTTCCACGCGTCTTTGGTCACGTATCGTGCCGCCGACTCATTTTTTCTACTGTAGACTCCTTTCCCAGCTGTCTGACGCGGCGTGCATGAAATGAGGTGCGTACCTCTATCAATATTCCGATCCAAATGCTCTAGCGCTTGCTGCGTGTTGCAGGTGCAATTCTACGACATCCAACATTGACTGCACACAGTTCGGTACCCCTCGACCTCCACTATCTACGTCGGTCCCTCGGACGCTCATGGTGACAAACCCGTCGACATCGCGTCAGGTCGGATCCGGCATGGGCGCTTGGACATGTTCCCGGTGAGTATCTGTCACCGTCCCTATTGGTCCTGTCTAATCGATACTCTGCTACTCGTCGCCTCCACACATCCTTGCGAACGCGCCTCATTCCTGCTGAACGACACCGAAGTCAACACGAAGCGGCCCTCGTATGTAGTTATTTATTATCTTCCAAATCTGTGTTGCGCTGACTTCTGAGTGCTTCTTGCAGCCACCGGGGTCTCCATGTACTCTCCGAACATCTTTCTTCGCACCGCGAGTTCTTCGACATGTCGCACAGTACGTTTTCGAATCAAATGAAGGTGCACACACTGACTTACCACCAGATACATATTTCGATCACCCTCTCCCCGCCCCAAAACACTTTCTGGCGACTTTCGACGTCAATGCGATGCGCGCCGGATCGACGGGAAGGGGGAGAATGAGCGGGTTGGCCGGCGAGGTTGCGCCGGCGACTTAGTACGACGTGTCGTGTCGTAGTTTGATGAATAATATGATTTTTTTTTTCAATACAAATGCAGGGAATGACTGGTATCCTGACAGGGCAGAGGTGAACAGCTGGCGGCAGAGGTGAGCATAAAGGTAGCAGACTCGAGCAGATGCGCGCATGTGGCAATCAAATGCGCATCTGCTATAGGGCCAAATTTCTGCGCAGATCTGCGCATTTCTGCCGCACTTTGGGTGGGCAGATTTGAGCAGATCTGGGCATATCCCAGCAGACGGGATTCTCACTGGGATTGAAGTCTCGGCGGGCGCGGGTCATCGTAGTTCGTAGTTCGTCGCTCGGAGTTCGGAATTCGAGGGCAGCGGTGAATCATGCGTCCTTCACGGAGGCCCAGGATGACTCGCGCCTGGCGCCGAGGACAGGAAAAGAGAAGAGGGAACTTGCGTGAATCCGAGCTGCGATTGATGAGATATAGAATACATGGTGCGTATCGTCCGTCCGGATGCGAGAGGCAATAAGTAAGGAATATGCGGTGCGGGTACAAGTGCGCGGATGCGTGATTATCGATCGTTATGTTGTGTAGGTCAAGGCGAAGCGAGTACAGTGTCGTGGCTTCAGGGCTCGGGATGTAATGAGCCCAATTAAATGCCCGAGGAAGAGTCGTGCTTGTGAGGATGCGTGGCGGGAGGGACGGCGTGTGTACCAATCGTTACGCGCTGCGTAGGTTACGGCGAAGCGACTACGGCGTCGGGGAAGTCGAGTATCATGCGATGCATAACGAACGAGTCGTCATGCGGCTGGAGATGTAATGAGCCCAAACCGGCGTAACGCACGCAGACGAACACACGCACCACGTATCATCGAGGCTCCGCCTTCTCCGTCGGGCACCCCGCCGCCCCCTCGCCAGCCCGCACATCGAGCGTGCACTCCACATCCGGTGTTTTCCCCTCATGATCCGCGTCCGCGTCCCCATCCCTTCCCTTCCTCCTCCTTTGCCATAACCCCAGAATCAAGTGCATGCACACAAAAACGATCCCCGCGCACGCCCCCGTCACACGCGCGATCATCAACAGCGAGACGCTCTCCGAGGCGACGTTGAAGCCGCAGAGGGGGAGGAGGGCGAGGGTGAGGAGGAATGAGGCGAGGGCGACGAAGAGGAGGGAGAGGGCTGCGTGCACGGCGGGGAGCGGGGCGGTGGACGAGGGCATCGGGCGTGCTGGCATGACGAGGACGAGAGTGAGATAGCAGGCACAGGCACGTTTCGGTTGCGCTTCGGCTATATATCGATTACGCGCTTGGCGCCAAGGGCTTGGCAATTTGATGGCGCGGCGTGGGAACTCTGATCGAAGTAATTAAGCTGTCCCACAGCGTGCAGGAACTCCGCCATGGAGGCGAAAGTGTTTGCACCGGAAGTAAAGTCTACTTCACGAACTCGTGTATTTCCCGTAAATTCTAGTCTACGCCGCGAGCCTGTTCCTGAAATGATAATGATAACTATTCGGCAGATTTCCTGTCTTGGCTGCACGCGGCGCTCAATCGCAAACCTCTTGGCCTTGCTGCGGTGCCGGTAATACAATTCCGTCGGGGACTCAGTATGTGCGGAATTCCTGTCGAATGGACCCGCCTCTTACGTTCGAGAGCCGGATTCATACTTATACCGCTCGGACTCGAGGTTGCCTCCAAGGCCGGATGACCACGACCGCAAATACAGCAGTCGCTCCCATGCGCTGCCGAGCACGAACCTTTCTTTTTGCTCTCAACGTGTTTTATGTACCTCAGTATCGGCTTACATACTTGCATACAGTAAGCCTAAGCATTCATCTGGATCCGTTTGCGGGAGAACCTTGCTCAGTATGTGCCGTCCAGGATGATCCATCATATTTTCCGTGTACTTTCGATGCGTGCTCAAACAACCTTAGCATCGGAGCAAGATATTTAACCGGGCGTAGTGCACGGAGCACACTCCTTTACCTTGAACCGTTGCCGAGCTACAATCACAAGTGCAGGAGAGACCGGGTTCGATTCCTGGCGCTCGAGTGTATGGTATCGAAGACTTTTTCATCTAAAATCACCTACATACCAGGCCCGAATATCGATAGACTCGAACACCCACACCATCGGAGTAGGCCATTCAATCGGGCGTAGTGCCTGGAGCACACTCCTTTACCTTGCGTCATATCGAGAAGCACAAGTGCAGAAGGGACGGGTTCGATTCCCGGCGCCTGTGTATTGCGTCTATCAGGTTCCTTTTTAGATCATTCGACCGCCTTCAAGCCTGAGTCACATCGCGTGAAAGCTCGGTGTTAACATGGCTCAAACACAGTATGCTGCCCAGAATAAGTTACTCTAATCTATATAGCCCACGCGTCGAAGGAAACTTCCACCCCCTGGCCATGGTTCACATATGTGTTTATAAATTCTATTCCAATTCTTCTCCCAACTGAATTTGAGCACGTAGTTGACGACTTTGTGGATTTCCTACGGTAGTGTTGGTATTATATACATTCCCATCTGGGGTGTAAGTACATATCACAGTCATACTTGCATTAATCTTCCGGAAATCGTGATTGCCTGTACGGAGGTGACAAAGTCGATTAATTTCTCATCAAAATGCGGTGGTGCATGTGCTGAAGACTCGCCTAACTATAAATCTATCAGATTTTGGATCGATTTTCAGCCGAGAGCAGGAAAACACCTTCCGTATGCTAAAGTCTTTCGGATTGTGCCGAAAGAGTTGCTAAAATGGGAGAAAAATGGTGAGGCAGAAGGGTGCACACGAATACATCGTCCAGATTCCTACCTCCTTTATACCGCTCAGGCCAGGCATCCGGCTTGGTTTGGCTCGGACCTGAGGGCTTCAGGGGCATCACTAGTTGCCATCCTTGCTCAAGCCTCAAACAACCACACCATCGGAGTAGGCCATTTAATCGGGTGTAGTGCACGGAGCACACTCCTCTACCTTGAGCTGCCAGAAATTGCAAGTGCAGGAGAGACCGGGTTCGACTCCCGGCGCCCGAATTGTGGTTATCTAAGTGTTTCTTTTTCTTATCAATTCTGTATGCGGCACGAAACTCCTTTACCTTGACCTGTACCTTAAATCGCAAATGCAGGAGAGAACGGGTTCGATTCCCGGCGCCTGAGTGCGTGTATATTGTACCGAGTCCCCTTTTCATCTAAAATGACCAGCCCAGGTATCGATGCACTCAAACACCCACACCATCGGAGATTATTCAATCGGGCGTAGTGCACGGAGCACACTCCTTTACTTTGCGTCGTATGTATGTTACAAGCGCAGGAGAGACCGGGTTCGACTCCCGGCGCCCGAGTATCGGGGAATTGTTACGTCCTTTTTTCATCTAAAATCGTCCATGCACACTCCTTTACCTTGAACTGCTGCCGATTGAAAGTGCAGGAGATACCGGGTTCGAGTCCTGGCGCCCGAGTGAGTCGTATTTGTGCCTTTTTATTCGTGTACGGACCGCCCACCCTGCGCATGGACGCCGCGGCGCGAATTAATATAATAAAAAACCGGGATGGATTCGAACTCTAGTAATACGAGCTAAGGTACCATTCATAGGGTACCGTGCATCAGCAGAACTCAACGCTCCAACCACACCCCGACATCCGGCAACGAAATTAAATTCAAGCCGGCGCGCAATCGACCTCTTGGATTTGCTGCGGTGTTGATGTATTCTCAAACTATGGCGGGGATGTCTATGCCCTGTATGTAATTATAACGGCTTCGATCCGCCTCTACTTTGGGATTCATCATATTTTCCGTGCTACATGCTTTGGTATTGATAAGTAATTCCGATTCTTAGGCAACCCAACGACAAGATCTGTAATCGGGTGTAGTGCATGGAGCACACTCCTTTCCCTTGATGTGTCGGCAATTGAATGTGCAGGAGAGAACGGGTTCGATTCCAGGCGCCCGAGTAGTGTCTTTCATATGCACTTTTCTTCTCTTTTTATTTGTATGTACCGACCGCTCGGCGTATATCATGGACGGCGCGGCGCGGATTAATATAATGAAGACCGGGACGGATTCCAGCTCTAGTAATGCGAGCTAGGGTACCGTAGATCAAGGTTACTGTAATATTCTCAAACTATGGCATGTGCCCTGCATGTAATTGAAAGGGCTGCCTTCGATCCGCCTCTGCTTTGTGATCCACCATATTTGCCGTGCTACATGCAATAGGGACGGTCAGAGTACGCGTTTCCGGGCGTTTCTGGGGGTCGTTTCTGCAGACGGTTCTCGAATTATAAGAACGTGGGAAATCAGAAATGTCGCAAAACCGTTCCCGAGCGTTTCTGAGGTCGTTTCTGCAGACGTTTCTGCAATTCTGAAAAAAGTCAGTTAAAGGTGCAAAACGTCAAGAGAAACGGAAACGGAAACGCGTAGAAACTCCTCCAGAGGAGTTTCTACAAGGCGTTTCTGATGCGTTTCCGTTTCTCGTGCCGTTGTCAATCGTTTGATGGAGTCGAGAAACGGATCTCGAACAGGGTCGGTCAAATCTCAGGTCGTTTCTCCCACGTTTCTGTTGCAAAATAATTACGAGAAACGCTTGCAGAAACGACCCCCAGAAACGCCCGGAAACGCCTACTCTGACCGTCCCCTATTGATACTGATAAGTACTTTCGATGTGTTGCTTCGCCAGCGTGTCGCGCGTACGATCCCGGGCCTAGATATATATTCCCGGCGGCTTGCCGTCTTCTCCTAGCACTCGATTGAACAGATGCTGCGCACACGGCATAACAGGAGTGCGGCACGCGGCATTGATCTGCCGCACTCTATCATCATTGGCGGCACACCGCTCCCAACCACGGCACACTGTGTACGGCACATTTCCACACATCTTGCATTATCGGCACATCAGCCGTGACTCGGCATCTTCCGCCGCGACTTTCAACTGAGGAAGTTCATGCTCGTGGGGAGCCTAGTTCGTAAGTTACACGGCAGAAAATGCCTCAATACTCAGACCCCTGTCTCATGATATTTCTGACTGGTTACATAAGTTGCCTGCAGGGTCTGTGCCATTTTCAGAGAGATAATGGCGCCTAGACATGGATCAGTAGAAGTTAATTTTCAAGTCTCTCACGTACCATGACATCCGAGCCGAGACTGACAACAGGCCACGTCCTCTTCTCCTGGCCCGAAAGCGACACCGACTTTAAAGTTGGCAGTCTCTGTGGTCCCCTTCCAGGCGTTGTTAGTATACGGACTTCTTCCCGCCTTACCTTCTACAGACACATAATACGTATATGTACAGTCTAGTATAATGGCTTTTTTTAGCTATCAAGCCCGGGCTCAGGGCTTCAGGCCCTGCACCCAGGGCTCGAGCTCAGGCCTTGAGAATTTGAAGCCCGAGCCCGGGCATTCAGGCCGAGCCGGGCCCTCAACATCACTACTTCGAATGTAGCCGCGGACCGTGCGTCCTGTACGGAGCAACGGAATGATTCGTGCCTCGCGCCGACGACAGGAAGAGGGAAGACTGAGATTGATGAAGCATGGGATACATTATGCATATTGTCCGTCCAGCGATAACCAGTAAGTAAGGAAGGTGCGATGCTGTGCAGGTACAGGTGCGTGCGTGTGCGGATGCGTGGAGGGAGGGAGGGGCTGAGCGATTATCCATCGCAATTTGGTGTGTAGGTTACGGTGAAGCGACTACTAGGTGTCGTGGCGTCGAGCACAATGTGATGGATAATGAATGAGTCGTCATAGGACTGGGGATGCAATGAGCCCAAATAAGACCGGAGAAATGGCCATGGAACGCACGCACCAGTATCATTAATAGTGAGGCTCCGCTTTCTCGGATGGGTACCCCACCGCCGCCTCGATGTCCCGCACATCGAGCTTGCACTCCACATCCGGCGTTCCCTCATGATCCGCGTCCCCACCCCTCCTCAGGCTCCTCCTTTGCAACAACCCCAAAATTAAATTCATGCACACAAAAACAACGCTCGCCCACGCCCCCGTCACGCGTGCGATCATCAACAGCGAGATATTCTCCGAGTCGACGGTGAGGCCGCAGAAGGGGAGGAGGGTGACGGTGAGGATGAATGAGGCGAGGGTGATGAAGAGGAGGGAGAGCGCAGCGTGCACGGCAGGTGACGGAGCGGTGGAAGAGGAGGAGGAGGACATTGGGCGAGATGTGGTCCACAGTTGCGCTTCGGATTTATAATAACATATGGATCGCAGATTCGCAAGTGCCACGGGGCTTATCGTCCCGATAGCACGGCCGCGGCGTGGACTCGAAAATGCATGTCTACGCCGCGAGCCTGTTCCATGGTATTCGGTGAATTCCCTGTCTTGGCTGCACGCCGCACGCGGCGGTCACTTGCAACCTCTTGGCCTTGCTGCGGCGCCGGTGTTACAAGCCCGTCGCGGAAAAGTGTTATAAGCCCGTCGCGGAAATTCCGTCCGGGACACGGGGATGTGTGAAATTCCTGTTGAATGGGCCCGCCTCGTATTGGTTGCTGCCTTCGAGACTCGAAAGTCGTATTTGTATCCTGTCAAGGCAGGGACGCTTGGGGGTTGGCTCCGGAATCGGATGACCGTGAATCGCTCGCGTGCGTAACCAGAGTACGACCCATTTTTATAGCCGTTACTGTACAGTAAGCATGATGGTCTTCCATCGGGCGCTCCCTCCTCCCTCCTCCCTATTTAGTATTAAATCTGATCCAAGTAAGAGCTGAATAGAGAAGAGAGAATCAGAGTGAGAGAACACCAGCGCTCGAATAGCCAGTCGAGGATCCAGCGCGCCGTTTCTTTATGCTTGCCCATGGATGTCTGTGGCCGTGCTCAGCACCGGGAGTGGCAGGGCGTGGATCTAGATCGGATCTCAGGGAAAACCTTGCACATTATATGCCATCCAGGACCACCATATTGGCCGTGATATTGATGCTTGGTCAAACACCCACACCATCAAAAACAGATATCCAATTGGGCGTAGTGCATAGGGCACACTCTTCTACCTTGAATTGACAATATCAGCAGTGCAGGAGAGAACGGGTTCGATTCCTGGCGCGCCCGAGTTGCTTTCGTTTGACGTGCTTTTTCTTTTCTTTTTATTTGTGTACCGCCCGCCACGCGCATGGACGCCGCGGCGCGAATTAATCTCATGATATCCGGGATTCGGAATCATTCGCGTCGCGTGAAAGCTCGGCGTGTTTCAATTTGCAGTGCTCAAACGCAGCAAGTCCGACAATACGATCCCGAACTCCAAGGTGAGCTCCCTTCCAAAACTATTCGGTGAACGACAGGCGACTTTAATAAGTCTGCGCATCTGATCCTCGGGACGAGGCCGCCGCATCGAAACTTTGGGTGGTGTATGTTTTTGAAGCGGAGAATTATGACAACGGTCTTATTGAGAGCTGGGAGAGTGATGTGGAAGGAATCCTGATTTTCGTGTGTATTACCGTGCACATGGATTAATCCTCGGCTGATGTTTTCTTGAGACCTGGCCCCTCACTTATTAGTAAGTCGGTACCGGGAATTACTTCCATATCGAGCAGAGCAGAAAATCAGTGGCTGAATAGTGGAGAAAACACGGCGGATCCGTGAAGATCGTCCAGTCTTTCCAAAAGTCGAGTTTGACAAGGAATACCGTGTGTCATCCAAACATGATCCAGACGCTGACTCGTTGCAAGCTCACCGCCGATTTTCCGCGTCGAGAGCCCCCACAGGAAAGTGCAGCAAGATCTAACAATTTTTTGGACAGCCAGGTGATTTTCCTCGTGAGATCGATCCAACAGCAATCTCACAGAGAATGTCACTGGTACAAGGTGCCATCGCCTATCGGTGTCTCTGCGGCTCCCACAGGGACCTCTGGATATGCGGTTGGCCATGATTGAAGAGAGATGCAGAATTATAAGCGGACGCCTCGGAATGAACGACACCGCAATCCGTGATGGTCGCGGTTTGAAAGAAAAGGGGCGTTGTAATTGTTTGGCAACGGCGGCTTTGGCATCTGTTGTGCCCATCATGATGACGCCATCATTGCCGAGCTCTACCGCCACTGCCTCCGCTGGGTGTCACTCCAGATCCACTCACTCAGTCCCACCTGGACGATAAAAGTGCTTCTGGCTCAATCTCATCTTCTCTGCTGCGCTTATTTAAGTCCCCTCTCCGAGTCGAATGTCCCATGGTGCGTCCTATCCTCCGTTCAGTGGACCCGACAATAGGCTCACATATCTTGAGTGTCCATTTAGCGTTAACTCGATGCTACGCACGGCCCCGGTCACGGATATGTCACTCGCGTAGACTCGGTCGAACGGGCTCGACTCAGGTTCGAGCCTTTTACAAATGAAAACAGCCAGTAGT